TGGTGCATGTACATGCTCCATTTTGCGCGTTCTGGGACTGGTGTGGCGAGGCCCCTGAGAACGGAGGAAGGAAAAAAAGGGAGGCTACATACTTATGGGTCTCGACACACCACTCAAAATGTGAAAAAGGCAAAAATGTGGAGGGTGCATCTGGTCATGTTCTATGGGAAGTTCATTCTCGTTTTGCACGAATGAAGGAAAAAAAGGGAGGTGGTCTGCCGCTGCTATAAACGGCTTTTTCCCTTTTTTTTTCTCTTTTTCTTTGTTGAGTGAGTGAGGACATCGCCACAGCACTCCCCGGGTGTAGCTTTCAATGTTTTTGTTGCAGATACATTCTCCATTTTGCACATTCTGGTACTGGTGTGGCGAGGCCCTGAGAAAGGAGGAAGGAATAAAAGGGTACAGGGTTTAAGGAGTTTTCAGTGGGTCTGTACGGCTCCGTCCCGCACGCCTTCACTCCTACCGGGTTCCCGGTGGCACTAAGGGCTGCGGGCCCGCGTCCTCACGGTATATCAGAGGAGGAGGGGAACAAAGATCTCCTTACTTTTTCGGGTAATACATGTAAAATACTGACCGTGGGATCGCGAGTACTGCACTGCAGGGTTTGGGTTACTCAACTGCCACACAAACTCGTTTCTATCCTATCCTGTTGCTAGTGGGACCATGATCCGGGTTGAATTGTGAGGGTCGAGGGTCCCCGGCCTCGTTTATGAATTGATTTTTTTTTTTTTTTTTTTAAAGACTATACTCTTCTCTCAATTTTTCCTCACACTACCTACCCACCACTACTCCTACTTATAGGCATACGGGGAAACCCGTAGCATACCAGAGCCGTGTTCTTACGGCCCCTCGAGCCTGCAGGAAACCGGCCAGGGGACGGCCGGTAGCACCAGGGTCTGCTATGTTCGTAGGGGAGGGGCCTGAGGGGAGGCACGGGGGATTGGTTCGCTTTATCCCTGAATTGATTTGTGGAATATAAGAGGGAAAAAAAACAAAAAAAAGCAAAACAAAAGCAGTAGGACTGTCTTTTTGCATCCTTTGTCCAGCACCATCGCCCTTTCAAGAGTGCTGTGTGGCGAGAGGCCGAAAACGTCTGACAGGTCTTGAAACATTCCCCCGTTTCAAGAGTGGTGTGGCGAGGCCCTGAGCTACCAGGTAGGCCAGTTGGTAAGGCTGCGAATTGGCTTTGAGGCGCGCATTGGTTTTCTCAGGGCAGTCCGGACATTGGAACGATACACAGAAGATTAGCATGGTCCCTGCACAAGGATGACACGCAACCGATAAATCGAGAAATGTTTTCTCAGCGCAGCGCTCTCCAGATTTTTCGTTCTGGCGGGCGGCGCCCAAAAATGTATAGGAAGGCGGAGCAGAGTCGAACGGTGTGCAAACGGGTGTGCGAAAGTTGACTCTCTCTCTCTTTCCGTTTTGTCTCTTCGATGGTGTGCTTGAAGATGTCGAGAGTTCCGTTCACGCTCGGCACAAGAAGGAAATAGGTGAGCCCGCCCTCCCTCCCCTCCCTCCCCTCCCTCCCTCCCTCCCTCGCCTCCCCCTC